CACTCTGGAAAACATCTTCAATCATCCTCTGATAAGGTTCACCTCGGAGTAAACACAACTGACGCTGCAGATAATAAAGTTAGAATAAAATAACGTGAGGTCATGTGATGAGAAAATAAAAAATCGATGACTACATGTTTTTAGACGTACCTCATGGCCAGATTTATGCTGGTTCTTTCCTCCTGAAGGAAGGATTGAAGTTTGCTGCCCTTTTCCCTCTGTTTTCCTCTGTCTGGTTTAGGGCTGCAACTAACGATTATTTTCATAATCGATTAATCTGTCGATTATTTTTTCGATTAATCGGTTTGTTATTGTTTAGCTATTTAACCTATACAAGTGATGAATACATTTCAGTTAAGAAAAAGAAAAACATAAGAGAATTGTGCAGTTGACTGCAATCTATTTTATTGCACATGAACACAGTCAGCGGTGTAAAATGAGCTAACCAGTGCAAAATATCAGTCCAGAATAATTTTTGGCATAAAAATATAAGAAGTAAATTCCATAAAAAATAATGTAGAATCTAGAATAGAGTTTGTAAGTGGTATGCATTGCTGGGGGGTGAGTGTCTTGTTCCCCATGTAGTTGTACATCGTTGCTTGTTTTTTTCTGCATAAGAAACACAAATTGACTGACATAAGTACACATATAAAATAAAGCAGCACACACACTACAACACTAAATCAATATTACATTATTTGAATTAATTAACAATATACAGTGATCATTTATTTTGACAAAAATGTGTTGTGAGGCATTTTACAGTGTTAGACAGTAAAACAGCCTTTTAATAGTAAAAAAAATGACTTTCTGAATGTCTCCTGTATTTAAAAATTGAAAGCGTACATTATATTCACCTGGACACAGCTCGTCTCTATATTTTTCTCCGCAGAGTTGTCCTTTTTTGAATGAGAAACATAGTTATGGGTTTGTGCCGTTTTTCTCTTAACGAGAACATTCTTATAAACAGAAGTGCTAAATTTGGCAAGCGCATGATTCACAACACGGAGGAGATTCACGATTGCATCTAGTCAATCAGAAGTAGAACACCGTAGACTGACGCGGCAAAAAAAAAAAAAAACATGTTTAACATCCACTATAACGAACTCAGCTCCTAAATTTGATCTGCGTTAGCTTGTTTATTTTCTGTTACTTACCGGATTCACCGGACTTTCCTCTGCTGCATCAGCCCTCACATGTTTTCGTCTCAAATGTTCACTTAGGGACGCCGTGCTTCCGTGCCATGCTAGATGGTTTTTGCATATTTTGCAGGTCACCCATCTTTTCATGACATCTAGAGTGAAGTGCTCCCATACGCGTGAGGTTTTTGTCCGGGGTTTCTCTTCGGTTTTGTCGTTTCTATTTTTCTTCCGTATTTCTTCTTGTTCCGCCATCTCTCACAGCAAGATGCGCGTCAGTAACGTGTTATGTCATGAAAACCGATGGCACTTTTTGGCTCGTTTCTTCTTCTACAGCTCCACTGGTAGATCAGTGGCTCATTACTGCCACACACTGGCGGCAAATTTAACAGATTGTAACCAAAACGGATGTCAGATTGTGGTAAAAAATTGACTTTATGCGGTAAAATATGATTATTAAACAACTAATCGATGACTAGAAAAGTTGTTAACTATTTTAATAATCGATTAAATCGATTAGTTGTTTCAGCTCTAGTCTGGTTCGATGGTGTCTCTTTGGTGAAGCACATTTGTAGTCCTGTACTTATTTTCACACAAAACCTAAAATAACGTTTCCCCCGTTCAAAAATGAGTGATTTCTTATTAAAAGAATGTGTCTTTAAAATGAACAAACATCTGATGTGGGTGGAATCCGGTTAACCGGCTATTAACCGTTAAGGGATGCCACTAGCGTGCATCTCTAGTGTTTACTGAAGCAGGTCTCTTGGGGCCGCTGCACCGTGTCCCTGCGCCTTGCTGCGGTGTTTTATCCTAATGTAGACCCAAGTCTACTCCTGTAATTCCTACTTTATTGTTTTCATTTGGAGTCGATTCCAGCTCAGTGGACTAGCGGTAGTGTCCACCCTGGGACTGGGAGAACGGCGTTCATATCCCGGTCGGGTCGTACCAAAGACTTTAACAACTGGACCCAACCCCTCCCTGCTTTAACACTCAGCATTAAGGGGTTGGATTGGAGGTTAAACCACCAAATGGTTCCCGAGCGCAGCCGCAGCTGCAGCTCACCGCTCCCCCAGGGGATGGGTCAAAGACGGAGAACAAATGTCACACACGCATCAGTGTGTGTGACAAGTAATGGGGCTTTAACATGACTGAGTCCTTTTCGTGGCTTTTTTACACTAAATGCTAGTTGTTACCATTCACTTAAAATGTTAATGCTAAGCTAAAGCTAGCATAATACTGCCAGATTAGGACAAAGATTGGTGGAATATGTCTTTAATCTCGTCGCTCCGTGGTTTCAAAGGCAGAAACCTCTCAACAGGTTTCCACGAGCGGTGTGGCTCTGTCTCGTCCTGATCGAGTCGTCTCGCAGCCTTTCTTGTGATTAGTTATGATGTTTTAAGACAACAGGCGTTTATTCCAGGATTGACTTCCTGGGAGTGGTGCCGGTGTCACCTGGCCGTAACCTGGTTCTGGTCACAAGACTCCTGTTGAAGTGGGCTGCCCAGCCAACCAGAAGATGAGAAAAGAAGCACACCCTAGCTGTGTGTTCACCTTTGGCCCCTGCCATCTGTCAGCCTGGTTCTGACACCTGTACCAGCCCGTCAGTCCCTGTCATCGGAGCCATGCGGGTCGGGACACTCGGTGAAGGGGGGTGATGTAAGAGAGGTGGTGATTGAGGTGAAGTTGGGGCCATCTTTAATAACAAATAGAGCATCTTTTATTGTAATGTTACTAAAATGGCTTGTTGTTGTTTCTGGGCCTCTACAGGTGTCGTACCCGCACCCCTCTTCCTCTGAATGTTGGCTCAAAGTTCAGAGGCAACTAGAAAGCAAATAGTTGGCATGCTGTAAAAGCTCGGAGAGGGCTATTAATGCCATGCCAGATGTTCATCAGATGGTGATGTTAAGGGGAGGATGCGTGGCTTTTCTTTAGGAGGAAGAATGCTTGAAAGGCGGGTTGTGTTGCTGCCGGCGCTGCTGTATTCATGGGCACCATTTCTCTGAGCCAACTCCAAAAAACACTTCCCCCTGTGTCCGAGCCTGAGCCCGATACAGGCCCAGGAAAGAGCAAAGTAGATCCTAGCGCCGAAGTCATGTCAGCGCCGGCGTTGGTTCCCGAACACGGCGGCGAGCTGGTGGATGTGTTGGCAGCAGAAAAACCCCACGGCAGATGCATCCCAAAGCTGTTAGTGGCCACCTCTAATCGGCTTACGCTGGCTCGGTGACAGGTGATTGGCACCTTCCGTGGGTCAGAAACACTCGGGAATAAACTCGCCTCACAATTACGGCCGACATGTTGGAAATCCCCAGGAACCAGAGCAGAACCCAGATCCATCCCAGCTTTTCCTTATTGTGGATTTTTATCCTGCCTTTTGAATGTAAGCCTTTAGTTTTTGTTCTTATGTCCAAGATTAAAACGTCCCACTGAGCTTGCTGATGCTGATCAGCTGTGGCGGCCATCTTTTAGCAGGTTGACTTCAAAGATGAATCCGTTTTATTGAGTTCCATCAAAATCCCTCCATGTGATTATTATCCTATAAGCATGATTCAGATATAAATAAGTTTTAATGTGTTTTTAATGTGTTTTGTGTCTTTTGGAGGGAAAACAAGCTAAAATCCTGGTTGTTTCATTTTTATAAGACATAAAAACAACATAAAAGTCGTGATTAAAGGTGTGGAACACTGAAAAATAATGTTTAAATGATCGTTTCTGATTCTGGCTGAACATGAAAATAGTCTCCTACACATATCTCCTGCAGTAGCTTCTGATAGAAAACAGACGGAGAAGCTCTAGGATTAGTATGACTCACGAGGCATTCTTACAGGAGACCGCTGCAAAACCACTCCAGTAACTAAATATAAATGACTTATTTGTTTTTACCATGACATCTTAAATCTGTTGTGCCTGATGACATCACCTCCTCTGATTGTTTGATGTCAGTAGTTACATCGCCGCAGCGTTGTCGGAGCGTGTTCTCTCTCTGGTGTGTGACAGCAGGTGGAAATCCAACAAGAGAGCTGGGTTGACTTTTCCTTTTCAGGCCTGTTGGATGGTGGGAAGGGGTGGGGTAGTGTGTGTGTGTGTGTGTGTGTGTGTGTGTGTGTGTGTGTGTGTGTGTGTGTGTGTGTGGTGGGGGGGTCCTATTTGCTCTCTGTAGAGGATGATCTTGTAGGTCCCACCAAGTCAAACAAGTGGCATGTTGCCAAGTCATCGAGCTTTTCACACAGACGTGAGGAGGTATTGACACTGTGTGTGTGTGTGTGTGTGTGTGTGTGTGTGTGTGTGTGTGTGTGTAAAACCTCAGCGCTAAGTGCCACTCACATCTAAAATTGGAGCACAGCGAGCTGTGTGTGCCGTCACACACAGGAACCAACACTTCCTTAAACTTTGGATTATTTTTGTAAATCTTGGATGAAATAAACTGAAGTTCTGTCAAAAACATGGAAACAAAAGATGAATCAGAACTATAAATTATTCACACACATTCCTTAGACTCATGAACACAACATAAGCATTCACATAACATCATGTTTGGAATGGCCATGACCATATTTGGAAACAGGAAGAACAGAAGTGATTATTGAGGTTTGACCTTGTTGAGGATGGTGTCGGACACACACACACACACACACACACACACACACACACACACACACACACACACACACACACACACACACACACACACACACACACACACACACACACATTAATGACTGTTTCTGTGTTTTCACTGGTCTTAATAATTTGTCACTAACTCGATCAGCTGGTCCCGACCAGCTGCTGCTGTAGATGTAAATCACAGCACTTCCTTCCCCACATGATGTCTTCCTCATGTTAACATCTCTCCCTCCTCTGCAGCTTGTGAAGGAAATTAAAAAGCAGCATGGAAACTTCAGCTCCGACGGCCACCGACAAGAAGGAGAGTAAAGCTTCTGGTCTGGATGGAAGCAGCTTCTCAGAACTCCCCAAAAAGCCGTCGCCGACCACTCTGACCAGAGGTACCGCTGGCTGCTTCTCTCCTTCCTGAATGTTGCCGATCCGGTCTTGGTGCTGTACGGTGAAGCATTAGGGTTTCCCGGGTAAATATCTGGCTCCGACCTGGAGACCGGGGCATGTTTCTGAGATGTCAGAGACAGGCTGATTAAAAAAAATGTTATAATGAGGCCGAAAGACCTTGTTTTCACCTCCCGAGTGTAAATTTCATGAATTACTAAAACTGTGCTGGCGAAGCAGTGGACGGCTGAGATGGGGACGGGGGTGTCTTTGAAATGCTAACAAGATGTCGTATGACATTGTGGCATTCTTTCTGCTTAATGATGGTGTTGGTGGCCTGCCACAGCAGGAGCATTAATTGTTTAGGGATGTGTGGAGAGAAACTGGGGCGTCGCAGAAGCTGGCACCTCCACAAAAGGGCCACAAGTTCTTCAAACAGGAAACGAAAACACTGCTGCTTGCTGTGTGAATTATTCACGTGGTTATGACCAGTGTGCCACGCGGGCTGTCAGGGTTGGACCTCGCGCCACCCGAAGGCTGCGCCCATCAGGGGTTACTTGTGCACGTGAGGTAGCTCACAGACTGCAGGGTGTCAAGGATTCCCTCAATGAAGGCTTATAATTAACATATGAGCGCTCGTGTTTTCATTAGAGCGATGGAAACTCTTCATAACGAGGCTGGAGGATCATGTGGGGCCTCCGAGGTAGCGGTGGTATAAATTACTAACGATTCAGCCGGTGGACGCTGAACCAAAGCCCTCTGGAAGACGGCTGGCAGAGACGGAGGGTCCACCACAGGATCCGGTTAATGACGGTCCTGGTGGCCTGCCATCACGGAGCCCGCTTCAACACAGGGACAGGAAAAGTAGGACGGCGATTCTCACAATGTTGATTCTCTCCTTGTACACTCATTCTTTCTCTCTATGTGATGTGGAATTAGCATACCAGTGATGTGGAAAAACATGGAGCAAACATTTACATCAAGCTGCAGCAGACTGCATTTTCTCAAGTTGGGAGAACCAGAAATTATTCCAGAACTTCCAAAGTCGGGAAATAATCAGCAGACTTTCAAAAATGAAAACAAAAAAAACTTTGTGTCACCGCAGGCAAACATGTCTCCGTTAGCTGTGAGAGCATTACGTGTCTGAGAAAACGAGAATCCAGGGAAATGATCTGATGTTCCGATAACGAGGACTCTCTAAAACTGTTTCTGATCGGTCTCTGTAGTAAACTTTCTACCTGGGTCATACAGTACTCTGGCTCTGTAGTATCAGAACACTTACTAGTTCACAGTATCAGAGGAAAGTTTTCCTCTCAGGGCATCAGGAACCCTCCTGGGATCCCAGTTCAGTTTCTGGGAGTGGAGAGGGAAGAGCCGGAGACCGAACGGAGAATGAAACGAAGATGAAGCGGGAACAAACGTGACTCTTCGCAGATTCCGACTCGGTGAGATTCCAAATAAAAATGAGCAAATTTTCTCCAAGTTGTCGTGATTCCAGCTGGTCTCCAGCTCCTCGGGTCAAATAACGTTCTGCAGGTTTGGTGCCTCGAGCTTTGGAACAGAACAATAACGAGGTCCCTCATCCCGAGACATCTTTGCTCCGTAGAAGCCCGGCTAGCTTGTGTTTCAGCGGGACGCTCCTCGTCCTGCTTCAGTATGAATGCATGAGGGTGTATTTGGAATGTCCTGTCAGGAACTTCCTCGTGGTTTTAAATGGACACCCACATGTGTCAACGAGGCGGGTTTCCACAGGCTTGGCTGCTGCAACCAGACACCCCCCTTATCCCAGATGTACAAGTCTGTGTCGGCAGTCGTGAAGAGATACTGAAATCATGTCCAAGGAAAACCTGTGACCAGCATCGCCGGCCCAACCCGTGGAGGAAGCGCTGTCCACGTTGTTTTGTTCTCCTCCACTGAGTTGTTGAAGTAACTAAGCTCAGTAAGATTCACAATTCCTGGATGTTGGAATAAAATTTTCCCAGATTCAGTTCAGGTCAAATATTCTTCAGCAGACAAACAAGATATTTACCAAACATCCGACCAACCTTCAGAAACCGGATAAACGTCTACAGCGGCATGACGGTTGGAGTCAAACCAAGATGGCCGCTCCAGCGGCGTGACCTAAACACCGATGTGGCTGAAATCAGTCACTGAGCTAACGTCTGAAGCTCAGAGAGTTCTACAAACTTTAACCATTGAAGTCACGCCATGTGGTCTTTAAATATTCCCAACCTTAGTCATCCATCCCGGGAGCTGATGGAGAAAGCATTCCCTGATGTCGGAATCTTTGGTTTCTGAATAAGAATTCACCCTGTAGCTGGCCCCTCCTCAAGTCTGGTCCTCCTGAAGATTTATCAGGGCCTGCTGGTCTGCTTCAGGCGGGTCCCTGTAATGTAGATCGATGAAGAGGAGAAGTCCGGCATCATTAGTCTTCCAGGCAGCCGAGCGTGGAAGGGTGATAAGGAGCCGGGTGTTAATCACAGTTATCGTTGGTAAGTCTTGGACCAAAAGTTCTCCGCTGGGGTCTCTGGCTGCCCTTTCTCTGTAACGTGCTCTGGAGTGGGTCACAACCCACCCACCCCACCCCCACCACAGCCATAGCTCCCCATCCACAGGCCTACTCCAAAGGGATGGCCACTAATCTTCCTGAGAAAAAGATTTCTGCTTTTCTTTCTTCGCTCCCAGATGAGGCTGCTGCTCTGGAGGTGGAGGTGGGGGTGGGGGTTCTCAGTGGCCGGGGTTATGCAGGGATGAGTGCATTCATGCCAGACCCTTGTGCCCCCCAACTCATCAGTTTTCCACCTTCATCCTATGAACCAAAGATGTTGTTGTCCGAAGCCCAAAAGAGCTGAACAATAAAACACGTTCCAGAGAACAGGCCTCGGCTCCAAATCCGGACATATTTGTGTCTTCAGCACCGAGGGAGCATCAGCTCTATCAGGTGTCTTCTAACATTTCATAACTGCATATCAATAAATCTTCTCCTGATACTCGAAGAGCTACAAGCTTACAGGAAAGCCTATTGACCAAGTCCAGATATGCTTTGTTTTCCTGTCAGGAACGCGGCTGTTGTCCAAGAACCCCTCCATCTCAATCCCGGAATAACTTTCGGTCATTTCTGTGTCTCAAGCACAACTCCATCATCTCCTAGAATTAGTTCAGAATACAACATTATGGTTGGTTGACACAAAATGGGGCATTTTCCCATTTCCTGATGGTCTAATTAGTCATCATAGGGTTAGCATAATGCTAAGTGCTAATGCTGAATGTGTTCCAGCCATTCTGGAGACTGCTACTGAACAGCCTCTGTTCAGAGAAACAGAGTTTACATCCCAGCAGTGGGTGGGGCTGGAGGGTCAGCTCGGACCACCTTTTTATTTTATGACAAATAAATGGCTCAAATAATTTAGCTCTTTTAAAAATAGAAATTAGTCTGTTTTTGAAGATCTGAGCTGTTTTAAGAGGACAAACACTCAGACTAGCTGTTAGCTCATCAATCCTGAGGGACATAAACTCTCAGCAGAACCTGTTTACATCGGATAGATAGGGAATATTTTATTGCAAAAACAAACTTGGGAATGACGGAAATCCCAGCTGATGTTTGTGAAACTCCGTCCTATTCCTGTTGTTCCCATCAGCAGCAGGTGCCTCATTTATCACGCTTGCTTACACACACACACACACACACACACACACACACACACACACACACACACACACACACACACACACACACACACACACACAGCCTGAAGCGCAGAATATGGAATGCAGAATATCAGCAGGGGGACAGCTTGAGACAGAACATCATGCGTCTGTGACAGTGTGTGTGTCCTGTCACTGTGACCCGATTGATCATGCGCCCTGGCTACTTGGACAAGTGAGATCTCCATTTGGCTGACTGGTTAGCATGCGTGACTTTCACCCAGGAGTCTGGGGATTGAATCCTGATTGGACCATTGTTTTTATATCTGCCACAGATCTCTCTGAAGAATTCACAACATTGACGGCTTCAGCAACACTGTGCCACTCTGTGGATTTTCTCTTATTTGTTTTTCAAAAGCACTTCCTTTCATTTCTCCACCTCACCCACAGGTACCTCAACTTCTGCTTCTGTAAAATAGCGCTTCCTTGGTCTGCCTTGATCTATGGTCGCCATGTCATTGGCGGAGCGCTGCAACAGCCGGCTTATGTATATGCATGAGGTCCACAAGGCACTTTGCATTGACTATTTATGGCAGTAAGTGGGCGTGGTGAGGGCGGGATGAGACTAAAATGCAGCTGAGAAACATTCTAGATAGTCTCTGATTTATGAAGCGGAGATTGCGTGCAGCTGTGTGTACTCCATGTTTGATAGATCACACACCTGATGGGTGTAAGAACATTGTTTTTGCTGAGCTTAAGTACGGTTTTAGTAAGGATTCTATGCCATGTTTGATAAATGAGACCCCTGGCCTTTAGGTAACAAATATGACTTTTTAAAACCAATATTACTGAAATAGCGTGCTTTTCCTTTGGAGGCCTTTTCCTAACATTGGAGTTAGAGCCGACATTCCTCTGTGTTTACAGGCTTTGGAGAGGAGTTGGAGGCAATATATGGATGCTTTTAGGGATTAGACAAGAGTTTTCTCCCTTTCCCCAGAGTCCCTTCATACTTTTTTTTTTGTTTCTTCTCCCGTTTCCCTGCCTGTGACATCCATCTTGTTTTGTTTATGGGACTGTTGGGAATGCTCTCATCGAGGTGCCCGTTCGCTCTTCATCTCTTCCTTCTGCTGCGTTTTATCACACCACTTGTTGAAAGTTCTGCGTGTGTGCTTGTGCATGGCGAGTCTCTCTGACCCGTCGTGACCTTTTGTATCCGTCTGAGCCGAGCTCCCGGTCTGCTCCGTTCCTCTGATAATGTTGCCCGAGCGCTCACAGTTCAAGGGAAGCAAAATAAACGTCTGAGGAGTTCCAACGTGGTGAAACAAAAATGTGTGCTAGCTGTAAACACGGGCTGGAGGCC